CTAATAAGAGCGATGGCCTCCAACCTAAGAGCGATGGCCTCCAACCTGGAAGCGATGGCCTCCAACCTGGAAGCCCAATCTAGAGGCGATGACCTTCAACCTAATAGCGAGGGCCTCAACCTAGAAGAGATGGCCTCCGACCTAATAGCGATTGCCTCCCACCAAAGCTTGTGATCTTCAAACAGTTAAAAGCTAAGGAAACCCGTCTGCCGTCTGCCTCCAGCTGCTCATGAGCCAGCTGAAGCGTGTCCAACCTCAGATCTCGAAAGAGATTCCGACAGCTGGTAGTGAAGTGAATGAAGTCTTGCAATTTAGCTAGTAGAAGCAAGTGCCACGCTAGTAGTAACAGGTGCCTTACTAGTAGTAACAAGAAGCTAGTAGAAGCTATTAATTACCATGCTACCTAGACCCGCTGCCTATCATTGTTCGCACTGGGCTCAGTCTTTGAGTCTCCAACTGCTTTTGGACACTCCCATGATTAGAGTCCAAAATACTGGCACCTGGCCAGATTTCATAAGATCCGCATTGGCTCCGTCACCATTCTCAGTTTTCTTCGCTTTTTGTTGTCTCTTTCATCTGAGAACTAGGTCGGACAAAAAGTCACCAAGGATCTCAGCTTCTAACCTTGAACCTCTCAGCTTCAGCACGAGACACCCTTCGCTCTTGCCTTGCTTCAGCAGCGCTACATCACTTTCTCGGAGAGTTTGCTCCTGTTTTCCGTGGGTCAAAGCACGAAAAGGACCGGCGCTACCTGATTGACAATTCCTAAATCCAACATGTTTTTTTGGGGTCTTGAAGACCTACTAGGAACAAGGACGCTACTAGGGGCTCCTGGCCTTACTACTAGGAACAAGAAGCTACTAGGAACAAGTGCATCGCTTCCAGTAACAAGTGCCTTACTACTAGGAACAACATGGGCACCGCACGTTCACCTCCACTCTCCTCCACCAGTCTTCCAGCCAGCTCTTCAGTGCGAGACCTTGGTCTTTGGCTTTTCAGGTGACTGAAAGGCCGGTGCTTTCCAAAAGGTGATGACCCATGACCCTAAAAGTGCCTTTTGGGACGAGGCTTGGGTCGGGTGTCTTTTCTCGTGCTAAAAAAATATGCTTTCAAGTGCTGGCGGCCTAGGAATTGCTGTCACAGGTGATCGATCCACCTTGCCGTGTTTGCTGGGGCGCTAAAAGTCTTTCAGAAACGAACTCAGATCAGCGCGTGACTCACTGGTTTCTTCGCAACATCTTCCCACTCAGAGGCTCCTACAAGGCCTCTGACACATCTTCGCTGCATCGTTGCATCTCCGCCTTCAGACATCGTTCGTTCAGACTGACCGCATGGACGACTTGGAAGTCTGAACATTAACGCCCAACCGGAAAAAAGACGCTGCTTGAAAGTTGTCCACCTCGTGGAGGCCATCACTAGTAGGTTGCAGGCCATCGCTACGAACGGAGCAAGGACGCTACTGGGTGGAGGTTTCGTTCCCTCGGGACATCTCGGGACCCTTGGGACCTGAAGGACTTTGGTCATCTTCACCTCCTCCGCTTGTCGGCCGTGTACCACCTGGCAGACTAAACATAGGTCTTGTGCAGTCACTAGACCATACCAGTACAATGCAAAATCCCCTAGTGAGAGGAATTAAAGTAGTTTACCAAATTGTTCCATACCACATAAGCAAGCATCTCTGATAGAAGAAACTACCCTTGCTCATGTGGCTATGTGGCTGGATGATGAAGTGGGCAAGAAGTACCACACGTCCAAATAAGACTGATACAACATATAACCTTCCCTTTTTGTGAGTCCTTCATGTTGGTTGGAAGTGTGAGTGGCTTGATACGTTGAAACCGAGTCTGTGATATGTCGAGACGATATGTTCCGCCTCCAGCTGCTGGTCATGATCCTTCAGAAGGGTTTCCAGCTGCGGCCTTTGACCGAAACCGTGTCTACTGGAGTACCACACATGCAACATGGGATGCATATTTGCCTTGTTCAACAGCGGACATAAGTACTTGCATTTATTTGCGGCCATCGCTGTTCTATCTCGACAGCTAAATATGACAGGGTCGCTCGACTTCTTGGGTCCCAATCTTGGGACGTGCTAGTCGCTGAATAATACATGAAACAAAAGACAGCCTCCAACCTACTAGTGGTGAGAGGGATGCGTCACGCAAGCTGTCGTAAGCTCCGCACAGCCTCTCCAAGACTTGTGACAAGCGCTCACGCAGTGCAGCCTTGACAGACCCGCAAACAAAGGAACAGGCCCTTGTCAAAAAGCTGACCCCTTGCCACCGCAAGTAATCGTTGCAAATACCTGAAACAAAAACACAAGAAGAGCGAAGAACCAACGAACAAAGAAAGAGCTATTCATCAACATCTATAAATTTGTCATCTACTGTATAGTCTTCCAATGTCTTCCACCCCAAGCCACAGCATCGCCACTCTCCCAGAGCGCTTCTTTGGAACAGTCCTGCCTGAGCACCGGCCAGTTCAGTCTCCAGCCGCTTTCGCAGATCAGCACCTGAAGAGGCCTTCAGCATCTCTGCGGAGGATATGGATGTGACAAAATGCTTTCTCTCCCCATCTTTACGATGTCTTTTGGTAGATTGTCTCTTGAGGCGTCAAGAAAACTTTGGCATGGAGGCCCTCAATCAATTGGGGCTCTCATCACACATGGTGAGAAAATGAGATGTCCGTACTGTTGGTGCTTTGCTACATGGTGCTGGCACCACGAGACCTGAATCAGAACCTTGCACAAGAAAAATGGACACTCACAAGCGCCATTATGCACAGACAGGACAAAAGTTGAATCCTAAAGGGGATCACAGCGGAATTCCGGCGGAGTATTTTCCACCCCGAAGTGTATTGTGTTTGAATCCGGGGTGGAAATTCCTCCACCGGAATTCCATTGGGAAAGAGAAGTCATGTCAATGAGACTCTGGAGGGAAGCTGTTACCAAACTGTCTGGCCACATCACAATTGACTCCCCAAGCATGAGATGAACGAACTTCAAGACCTCTGAGGCTTCTGTCGCTTTTCAAATTGGATTGAGCCTATTTGAGATACACACCTGCTGTCCTACTCACCGAAGGTTCGAGGATACCTGTGGATAATACCATGCACAGGATCAACGCTGACAGTGCCAGTTCTGCTGTCCTGCTGCTGCTCGGCGGCTGTCAGGCGAGAGCGGAGCTGGTCAATCTCCTCGGATGTCGCTCTTGAAGCTCTGTGGAAGGCTCTCTCAAAGGGTACACCCAAGCGAGAATCAGCCTCTAAAATCTGAAAGAGTTCCTTTTTGTTAATTTGTAGCCAATGGAGATCAATGGTAATGGATGCCTTTCAAATTCAGGTTACACTTTGCCACCTGGATCAGAATATCAACATCGTGTGGGCTGGCAAGAACTCAAGAAAAACACAAACCCTCTGGCCATGGAGCCCTTGGATGCTTTCTGCATCGCACCGCTACTTAGGCCCAGACTGCCCGGACGCCTTCCAGCAAGTCTTTGCTGAGATGCGCCTGGAAAATCAATCTTGGCTGGTTGAAATGCGCTTAAAGCGCGTGAACGCTGAAAAACCCATGCGCATGCCTGACTGCAACAATGATCTTGTCTCGTTGTTCCCTGAAAGCCCTCAAGGTGGGATACCTACCATGTCCGGAAAATACCTAC